ACTTTCTCGTAGACAGAATGTCCCAACGAGCCATTAAGTCTCTTTTCAAACAAACACAAGATCCAGGTTCGATTCAGTACAGTACACAAAATCAGTGATCTAATCCCATCTGTGAAGGATGTCATTCCTGACATGCAATATCCTGCAGTCTACAAACTAAGTTGCACCTGTGGTGGGTGTTACATTGGGGAAACGAAACGACATATCTCAGACCGTGTCCGCGAGCACAAGTCAGATCTGAAACACAGCAGAACTAATACCACCGCCATAGCTGAACATTGCTATAACGCGGTGGGCTCTCATGATATTGTTTTTCCGAGACCAAGGTACTCTGCGAACCTTCAGGCTACTATCAAAGGTTTGTTCATGAAGCCATCCAGATATATAAACATAGACATAACTTCAACCGAGAAGATGGATACAAATTGAGCGATCATTGGAAGGATGTTATTAACCAGGTAAAACCTTAACTGCTTTATGGTGTTGCCTTCATATCCGCATCTCCAGCTTCTTCAGCTTCCCACTCCCAGCCCCACTCACTTCAGCACTCCACTCCCCCTACCTCACACCCCCCCCCCCCTCTCTATCTCTCCCCCTAGCTCTTCCCCCCTCTCTTCTGCTTCAGCTTCCCACTCCCAGCCCCGCTCACTTCAGCACTCCCCTACCCCTATTATAACATTGAAAAATCACACTCAGACTTATTTTTTATGAATATATCATTTAATCGTTTTGGCAGTTGGTCTACAGCTCTTAATTATCAAGGATTATGCGATGTTGTATGACCCAGAGTGGATGTGGGTGGTAACAGGTCATATAAATTTTGACTGTTTCTCATGTTTTCATGTCTCCCAATCGAGTAGCAACACATACATACAGGGTGATCCAAGTATAGATATCCCACTAAAGTAAAAGGGAGAGAGGCCAAAGAGAAAACAGCAATTTATTTCGACGCCTCTGCATGTCTCGCAGAAATCTCAATACATTTGTAGTGAATCACTTTGGAACTGCTATTCAGGAGGCAACAACGTCTATTCTACATTACATAACACTGTTACACACGGGACTATAACACGCCTATCTCTTGCGCACACGGGATAACTATAACCGGGTCAGAGCAGCCAACATTGCTGTCTGGCCCACGACGTCAGAGACGGAGACGTAACACTTGGGTTCCACTTCACCTGCAGACAGCCCCGATATGCGATCGGGGCTCCCCTTTTATCCCTCGCGACCTGGCTCCACCCTCGGCCGCGCCCCGCTCTGGAACATTCCCGAAGGTTCCAGACTATCTTGCACGTGCCACCTGCCCGGCTCCGCCCTTAACCACGCCCCCTTCAAGAACTCTCCAGAAGAATCCCGGCTACACTTCCCGTGTCCCCTCGGTCACCTTTTTCACCCCACTCCTCACCCCGGTCCATCACGTGCTTCACTCGATGCCGGGGCGACTCGTCCTCACATGCCCCCCTCGCCAGCAGCCCGCACCACGCTCCCGAGAGACCAAGTATGTGGCAATTACTCGCTGCGCTGGCAGAGTGGCTGCTATTCCTTAATTCTGTCGGTAGGATTCATTTGCCTCTTTCTGCTCGCACCCGGTACCACGCCCCTAGTGACCCAACTGTATGGTACTGCACGGTGTGATCGCCTCTGCACCCATATTTCCTTGTTTTACAGCACTTAGCGCTCCGCGCCGTAGTGATTCATTTTACATCACTACACATTTATCAAATATTCTACTACTCTCCTGATTCACGTTGTCCAAAATAGCCGGTCTGGTTTACTTTGCCATGAATCAATCACCTGTTGAGAATAAATTAGTGGGGCATCTCTGAATGGATCACCTTGCAGATATTTACTCGGGATGAGCTTCAGATTAAATAAATTTATATTTCAGATTATCCGAAATTTTTTAATATTTTCTTTTCATATTTGTGGACTATTTACATTCGAGTACGTGGTCATTTAAAGTGAATTTGTGTGAACAAAGGTGACATCATCCAATTCCACGTGAAACCACTTTTGGTGCTAGGAAAAGTATGGAAGTGATGAGTTACCGGTGATGTCATTTCGTGTGACGTCACACTTTCGGATCAATCAGAAACGGATCATTTGATATTCGCATATCGGCTGGACATTCTGATGTTTCAGATTCATCTGTTGGATGTTTTTGCCAGTATGAAAATAATGAAAAAAAAATAAGAATACGCTACACCCTTTTTTCATTTTTATTTATACTGGCAAAATGGTCCGATAGATGTAACTGCTCAACCCAAACTATTAATACGTTGATACTTGCATTGGCTTTGTACTGTTCGCCTTGGGCGTCCTCTGGTAAGACAATGCGATAAAGAAGGCTTTCTCTGCTGTAGACCAATCAGTTTCAAAGACAATGCATATATTATCAGAGCACGTTTGTTTGCATGTTTCGCCACAAGTACGTGTGGTTAATGCAGATTTTATGCCTTAACACCTGTTTTTATTGACAGAAAGGATACACGCCTATTTTTATGTTTCAGATTATTAACCTGAAAATCGGGAATACATTGCATACACTCGAGTGTATTGTGAACTAGGGGACAGTTCTGTTCTCCACCGAGCCACATCAAGTCTGACTGCAACTGCGTGCGTGTTCAATCAAGGGCTACCACCGTATTGTAAATGAATCGCCCGTGAGTGGCACGTTACAAGAAATTCCAAGCAGCCATGTTAATCGTAAATGCGCATGATGTGTTATCAAATCTTTGACAATAAACTATAATTGTACGTCACGTAATATAAAATTACATTGCAAAAAAAAAGTACATTGTTAAATGCCACCTAGTGGAAAGGATGTGCAATTCAACTCGAATGTGTCCGTCTGATTCCTTTTAACAACACGACCTTTTAATCAGCCGCCACTAAAATTCGGGGCAAGCATGTATGGCCGTATAGAAATGGCCGAGATGGCTTTAAAATGTTACCAACAGCTTAAAACTGTGCCTTCCCTCCGAATGAATAATTTCGCGTTAGAGCCCCAGGTGTGGGCTGACTCAATTAGGCACCTGCCCGCTGAGCACATGCAGCTTGGCTCATCACATTCAACCCCGCCGGTACCCAGCGGGGCACGTTCACACGGCTGCCATGGTTTCACCAACACAGCCCAATTGACGCAACAGATCACTGCATTACAAAACAACCAACCCCCCCCCCACCACACCCCTTCCCGGTCCATAGCTTTTACATGCAAGTAATTTTTTTAAGGGCGCAATTAACGAGCGCGTTTTTCGTTTTCAATAGATTTTTCACCGACTTGACACAATGATGAAACAGAGCAGCCGCGCCAGGGGCGACGTTTCACGTTTGAAGGCATGATTACGATAACGAATTATTGACAACTGATGCGCCATTAGCATCGCCATCGTCAACGCGAATCTGCCATGCGATTTCGCCGCAAATCGCAAAAAGACACTGCGAAGCAAAACGCGCGTATCGGATCACACCGGCACGGAGGCGTTCGCTTGGTTATGCATCGAGCCTTTATCTGGGTGCCTCCTTTCCTCTGCGAGTGTGCGATACGGTTCGTTCGTCTTCACGTCATGCATCCCCACAAACAGAGACCCCCCCCTCCGTATAGCCTTGGCATACCATCGGGGCAAGTGCTGTTAGCGAGCACCTATGAGGGCCGGCACGGCACACACGAGGGGGTGGGTGGTCCAGCAACCACACAGCGCACCAGTTACTCGTTTGAGGCTGAGTCGACCTAGAGGAGTCTCACAACCGGTTCCGATATAATCGTCACTGGTGTTGGCCGTGGGCGGGAATCGCACTCGGGTCGCCGGGTTCGTAGCGCAGCGCGCTCACCGCTACACAAAGACAACCCCCCCCCCCCCCACGTATAACCTGAACAGACTGTTGGGGCTAGTGCTGTTAACGAGCACCTATGAAGGCCAGAATGGCACACGAAGGGGTGGGTGGCCAGCACCACGCCCGGCCACCTTTGCACCCCAAGTGAAAATGCATTTTACGCATCGCACCAGGTACTCATTTGAGGCTGAATCGTCCTACGGGAGGCCCAGGTGCGGCTCGGATACTCGTCACTGGCGTTGGCCGTGAGCGGCTTCGTAGCGCAGCGGGCTCACCGTGACACTACCGCTGCTGCACACACACAGACACACAGACACACACACAGACACGCAGACACACACACAGACACACAGACACGCATGCACACTCTCGTCCACACCGTGCGACGTGGCACAGTCTCACGTCCCCGACGCTCGCCACGCCGTCGCCCTATATTGTGTTGACTTGTTGCGACTCTGGTTGCCGTAGAGTGCTTCAGTGGCTAATTTCTCGCTGCCATTTGACGTGCTCGGACGTGGTGGGGGAGGTGGAGGGGGTGGGTGGGTGGGTGGGGGGCCGCGTTGTTGTGTCGATGCGCGTGGAGGCTATTGTCCCGTGCCGCGCGGGCGCACAATCGCGCCTCGCTCTTCTTCTTCTTCTTCCCCGCTTGTTCCACTCGTGACGTCACCGGCGCATCTCGACTGATCTCGGCGCGAACGAACGGGCAGAGGCGCTGAAGTCCTCGCCCAGCAGCAGCAGCGGCGGCGGCAGTAGCGGCGGCGGCGGTAGTCATATCATCGGCGGCTGCAGACTCGGCTGCGCGTGCGTCTTCGCGGGCACGCGTCCATCGTGAAGAATCCTGGAGCGTGGGAGCGAAGAGGGAGCGAAAGCGACAGAGCGAGCGGAGAGAGAGAGAGAGAGCGGAGAGGAGGGAGCGAGACAGGACACAGGACCCCGCCCGCTTCTGTGTTATCACCGCTAGAGTGATGACAAGGCGGGGAGCGAGAGAGACCTGCGAGAGAAATACCGCAGGTAGGAAGGAGGAGGATGTTGCAATGCGTGGCGGGCACACAGAGCGAACGAACGAATGAATGTATGCGCCACTCGCAAGCAGCAGCAGCAGCGCAACACGTCGCAAACTCTCATTTCGGTTTGTATTCGCACGTAGGTGTCTGTCCGTGTCTCCTGTCTCTGTGTCCCTGCGAGTGTTTGTTTTCCCGTGCGACTACACCGCCGTTATCTTGTCACGGCATTGCCGGTGCCTTGTTTATTTATCCCTCCGTCCGTTACATCCTCGGTGGATTTAAAATGTAATGTCAATTATGGCAGGGGTGTGTTATGCTCGTTCACACGGCGTGTTGGACCAGACAGGGGCATATATTGAACACGGTCGTGGTTGTCTTTTGTTTATATATATAAAAAAACGTCCTAGCCTTAAATAAATTATACAAAGCATTGCCTGATGTTATGACGTGAGATGGAAAGAATTGTAGCGTTCTTGCTCGTAATCGTGGGTGGTTTCGGCGTGGGATGTGTGCGCGTGTGTGCGTGCGTGCGCGTGCGAGCTTGGTCGTAAACAGCGCGGCCGAGTTGCGCTAATTGATGGGAGGCAGAGGCGTTGTTGCTGTCCAAACCAAACGGGGTGCTGCTGCGCGTTCAGCCGCCCCGTGCACACAACACCGGAGCCCTCTGCTCTCTTTTGTTTCGCCGCACGGTGAAGCGACCGGAGGGGGATATCGAGGAATCTATTTCCGATCTATTCGACGGGACGGGCGCTAAATGTCATTAATGGCTTCGTGGCACAGCGTGCGCGCGGGTACCTTGCTACGCATTCGACGTTTTTTTTTGTTTGACGCGAATATAATAGCCCATGGCTTAGTGTTGTCAGTGTCTGTGTGTGTGTGTGTTTACAAAGGGGTGTGTTATCAGATAGGTGTGTATACATTATGCACAATATGGAACAAAATGGAATGGTCTACAGTGCAATGCGGTGTGTATCAATGAATGGCGAGGATTGCCATGCCTCACAATGCTGCAGCTAACAGTTCACTTGTGAGGAATTGCTTTGTTGACTGCTGTGTTTATTTTTTGCCACGTCTAATGTACGTTGGGTGTCGTGGTGCCTCTGGCTATGGCATCCCAATGCGATGAATCGAAATTTCTTGACGGCTTGGAATGGCACGTAAATTGCTTTGAAATAATATTGTGAACGTGGAAATGTGAACATTTTAATTATTGTTGTGCATTAATCGCGTGCTTCTGTTGCTACTATTATTATTGTTCTGGTGATACAGGGTTCCAATGCTGGGGTGATTGTAGATTTGTTTAATATATATAGTGTAAACGGTATCATTATTCGCATTACATTTGTTTACATGCATAATGGGGTGCGTCGAAAATAATATACGATAAATTAATGTGTTAGATTTGATGACATGTTTCTGTCTAATGTTATACATGCCGCATCTGGTATGTGTGGGTTGTGCGTAGTAGTGAATGCAATGCTTTATTGGTTCTCGGGGTTTGCCTCTTAAGGACCGTTCCTCAACAATTTGGGGCGCACTCAGCCACGATACTATTTTTGTAGTGGTTAAATATTATTGTTAGCCACAATAGGCCATTCTCTGTCTTTCTCAGGGACATGATTTGACAACCAACCCACAATTTCTAAATTGCCCTTCATGGAATGCTTGCTGTGCGAATGCAGCTCCGACTGTCACCTCCAAGGGAATCTCTCACAATCAGTTTACCACGATGATTGTTATACACGTAGAGAGAGATACACTATTGATGTTGTGGATTTGCATTCTAATTTTATTTACAAAGGTTGCTAACCATGACAACCACACCACCAAAGGCATGTATACATATATAAGCCGCATGTGCTTTGCAATTAAAGAGACTCTGTCTCTATGCTCTTAAGAGATTAGCTTTTCTAATAACACGTTTGCAGTGATTGGGGGATAGGTGGCTTTAAATAGGTACATATCTTAAGGCTGTTTGCTAGTATGTATCAATCGGAATTTACCCATTAGTGAAATGTACCTGCTCATGAATATGCGGGTAAATGATATAATATTTTTCAACAAATCACATCGAAAGCAACCGCCTAATTTTGTTGCCAAAATGCTTGTCAGACTTACTTATGCTATCGGAATTATGTCTCATATTTCAGATGTTATGTTGCACAATCGTACCGTAAATCAACCGTTAGAGCACATTCAGTGATGAGCTTTCGTGTATAAATATATATTTTTAAATCGTATTAATTGAGTACCTGAAGGGACTAATATTTTCAGGAGTTGTTACGATCTGTTTTGTGCGTGCCTGTTTGTTTGGGTGTTCATGTACAGCCATTTTGTAAATCCACTGCTGGATGAGGGTCTCCTCGCACCATGCAGGTTTATGGGGGTTATCTGTCCATACTTCACCATACCGGTCAGTGCAGGGTGGTGAAGGCGGGGAAGATGATGGAGCATAGAAGTTCAGTACAACAATAGATATTTCTGCATTGCCCTTTGCTGCCCAACACGTAGCTCGAGAGCTCTATGACAACCTGTCTGTGAGCATGTTGCTCGTCAAATCCTAGCACTCTCCAGGCCTAAATCCAGCTTAGCTTCTGAGATCTGATGACGTGAGGAGCATTGCGAGTAATGTTGGTCTGAAGTGGTTATTTGTTTATAATTTGACAAATGACACACCCTTGACTCTTACTGTGCACGATTGCATTGAAATGACAGAGTTCACGGGAGTCGATAAGAAAAGACCGCCGATGCATTGTTGATTAAAACAATTACAACTCGGACAGGTTTTGAATAAGGATCTTGTGATATCCATAAACAATGCAGTGCAATGAATCTCAAGGTCTTTTTTCAAGACATGTTGTGATCGTGATAATTTACAGAACAAAAACATTCAGATCATTGCATGGATATGTTTTATTTTCCACTATTGTGATAAAAAATATATATAGTGTGTGCTTTGCATTCCTTCGCTGAATATGTTTGATTATTTGTTTACTCTTTGGTACTTGGTAAATAATACATATTCACGATGCTTTTTTGTGATTAAGCGCACTGCACTACAAACCTGGTTACCCCGAGTTAAAATCCTAGCAACGGCTAACATCTGAGATGAGTGATATTGAACCGGTCCTGGGCTGACCAGCATGGTGAAGTATGGTCAAAGCAAGGCCCCAAAACTGCCATGGCTTGTGGAGGCCTTCATCTAGCTCAGTATTGCTACAGTGCTGAAAGTTATCATTATAATTAAATATTATCATAAGTAATGCATAGCAGGCGAGCGCTGTAGTAAGGTTTGTTCCTCAAAGCAAGTAGGGCCTTCGTTCGATTCCTGATTCAGGTGCCTTTCTGTCTGTAGCTTTTGAATGTGTTTCTCACAGATTGTAAAATAATTTCCCGCAATATACTCAATTGGGATGACACATTGCAACATCGCCCCCTTAGTGCAAACATGTGGCAGGACCCTGCTGAAAAGAGTCACAAGACTCAGTGAGGCTTTCCTGGGCAAACAACCATAATGAAGCATATTAATGAAAGCTTAAATTAAGCGTCTGAAATAATTATGACTTTTACATGTTAGATGCCGATGCAATGTTTCGCTTTAGAATTCTTTAAATTGCGCTTTTTGTAATAAATTGATGATCATATGCTATAAGTAAATGAACATTTTTGTTGCATTGTATTATTTACAAGGACTAAATATAATAACCAGTTTTGAGTGGTGGCGAAATGACTGGCGCACTGCGCTATGACCAGGCTAGTTGAGTTTGATTCCAGGCCATGGCTAACGTCATTCACGAGTGATATGTGAACCAGTTACAGGCACCCCCCCCCCCCCCCCCCCCCATTCACGAACCCACATAGACCATCACGACGAATTACGGTCATACAAACACTCATCACAGACGAGGTATGGCGAGGCCTTCATCCAGCAGTGAAGTGGCAAAGGGCTGTGAATTATTATTTATTTTCTCTAAATGTAGTACTTTTGAATAGAACGAAAAAACTGACTTTCCAGCTATCAAAGATAAATATTATGCACAGATGGTACCATCTGCGTTCGTGTCAAACATACAGGGATCTCATGAAAACCACAGCTCTTGTTTGTATTTCTCTCATTACCTTGGTAATTTTTACTTTTTATCTGATATGCCATTTAATGATTTACCATATGTCTGAAACCTTAATTCAAGAGCAAATTTTGCATTCAGAGCGCTTGCAAGATTGCTCGTTAGGCGGATGTTTGCCGTGTTTTATCACGTGTAATTTTACTATGGGCAAGGCAAAACACTGCCCATCGTCTTCCGCAGAAATGAAATTCCGTTTGCAGCTGCTCAACGTAGTCACCAAATGTGTGTGAAAATAAATATATAAATAAACATCCATATAAACAAATGGCATATAAATAAATATTTCCCTACTGAGCTATGAGGGTATGGCTTGTGATGTGTTATATTACATTTTTCTAATGGAATTCAGGCTATAGGACCAGGAGGGAGTGGCGGATATTGGCTGCTATGGTTTCCAACCCTCTAAGGACTATGGGCTGAGTTGGTCCAAAGGATTCCGATGTAATTGTTTTTGGATGATGGCAGATGTGTACTTCTTATCTCCAATTCTCATCTCTTGTTGTGTCTTTTAAATCGTGTCTGTGAAACCTGTTTTTCGCAGTTGTTATTCATTTCATCTTTTAAAATATATATATTTAAAATATTGTACTGTTTTGACAAAATATACTTAAATGGGAGAATGTTCATGAATAGAGGAACAATACAGAATTGCAACTGTTCATATCAATTCAACCTTTATTTTCTCTTGTTTTAATTACATTTGTGATGCTATTTTAAAAATTAAAGTAATAGTAAAGCAATATTTGAAATTCAAATGTGTCCGGGTTCTTGCAGTGCTCAGAAGTAATCGTAGAGCAATATGGCAGTGTATAATTACTTTCATAGCCAAAAATTAAAGAGTATTTTACAAACACTGTTGCTACATGGTGACCTCTATAAAATATCCACTAATAGTTACTTTCTTCAAAATGTCACGTTTCTTTAAGTGTCGTGATTTTTTTTTCTACAGCAGGTAATTATGACCTTATTTCTCTTTCAGGCCCGCAGCACTAATTCCTGCATCGCGGAGTTAAGTTTTTTTTGTCTTGAACCGAGAGCCAAAGGATAGTGAAAACAAGCGCAACGCCACCACCTTGTAAGATATTGGAGAGGAGAGCAACAACAGCTGCCGCATAATAATTAGACCTCCAGGGTTCGACTGCGGAGGGAGGAGGGAAAAAACCTTGTAGCGTTCAGCCGGAGCAGGAAATCACTGGTTGGAAGTGGCCATTATGGATTCTATGTGTTCTACCACCTTGGAAATTCCAGTGAATCTTAAAAAGCCAAATCAGCAAGATTGTGCATCAGTGTGATTTACAGCTGTACCTGTCTGGGGGAAGACTTCATAATTTATATCACTCTTAGGCAAGAGGTGGAACTGCATTTCCTCCCCCCCACCCACCCCTAAAAGCTTTGATCCGCTTTACCTTCATAACCTATTTCGCTGCTTAAAGGAAACCATTAGCACTTTAGGTGACAACAAAAATATATATATAAGTTTAAAATATACAAAAAAAGTGTTACATATTGAACGTATACATAATTGCACTTCAAATTGCGAAGATGACACGTTCAATGTCATCACTGAGCTGTGCAATCGTGTTTAGTCTGTGCTTCTTCGTGACAACAAATCTGTCCATGGGGCTGGAGTTCACCGGTGAAGCCGATCAGTCGACAAGGTATTTGAGATGGGACCAAAGTGGAAACGGAAACCTGAGTTTTCAGTTCAAAACCAATAATTCCAAGGGACTCCTGCTGTACGTGGACGACGCCGGCATCTGCGACTATCTCGAGGTCATAGTCACAGGTGGCCAGGTCCAGCTACGAATAAAAATCCACTGCTCGCAGCCGCTGATCCACAGGGCATCGAAGCGCATCGACGACAACAACTGGCACGCGCTGCTCATCAGCATACGCCTGAAGCACATCACTCTCGCGGTGGACGACGAGATCGTCTCGGGGGAGGTCGTGTCCCGGGGGCAGCAGCTGAGCGTCAGCAGCGACCTCTTCCTGGGAGGAATCCCGACGGAGGAGCGCATCCAGCAGCTCACCTCCAAGGAGGTGAAGGGCCTGCCGCCGTTCAAGGGATACATCTCCAATCTCAAGTACGGCCACTCGACGCCGATACTCATTAGCAGCAAGGGAGTGCGGGCCGAGTGGCATCAGGTGTGTAAGGAGCAGAACCCCTGCAAGAATGGCGGCGTCTGCTCTGTGGAGATCAAGGAGGTGGTCTGCGACTGTTCCAACACTGGCTTCCAGGGCCGATATTGTCACGAAGGTAAGTGCCCTGAAATGGTCCGCACGGGTGCCTCGTGTGTTCTTGCTTTTCCAAATTGAAAATGAGCTGCATTTGCTTAATATAACACACGCTCTGCAGGGGATAGGCGGTGTACGTCGGAGGGTAAATAGATTGCCTCTGGGCTTTGCTTGCTTATCTCGTCTTGTTTCCATGACACTTGGTTTTTTTATAGTAATTTTTGTACATGCAATTTTTTTTTATAGTTTTGGTTAAAAAGGCCATCAGACTGTTTTTTTTCCCTTCAAATAAAATTGCAATAAATGTGTTATTAGACGTGGTGAGGGTTTAAAAAACGAAACAAATACAATTTAATCCAGTAGATTACAAATGTATAGGGAAGCCCATTACATTCCCAAACCTGAATAATAGTTACTTTAAAAACTCCAACCACAAGCCTAGTAATAATAAGAAGAATAAGTCAATTGGTTTTACTTTCTGGAGTAACGTTCTATGCGGAAGCTGCTGCTGAAGGCTTCTAATTAAAGCTCAAGATCACCCCCATTGCTTGTTTGAGCATGTGTGGAGGGCATTTCGGAGCCGCCGTATATCGGTTAGCGCACTGCACTACATACCCTGCCTGCTCGAGTTCAATTCCCGCTCACGGCCAACACCAATTACGATTATCTGAACGCGTTCTGGGCCTCCCCGAGGTCAACTCAGCCTGAAATTAGTACCCGGTGCGGTGTATAAACATCGCCACTGGGGTGACAACGGCCGGCTGGGTGTGGTGTTGGCCACCCATTCCGGCCTTCATAGGTGCTCAGCTAATAGCACTTGCCCCAACAGTCTGTTCAGGCTATACGGGGGGTCTTTGTCTTTGGGGGACAATGGGGAGAAAGAGAGCAGTCGGGGGCGGAATGCTCTGATGCCACAGAGTGTGTCATTTCTGGGCATTATTCTTAATACACGATCTTAAAATTACAAATTTGAATATTTGTAATCTAATATGGTTGAATTTAATGTGAAATATATAATACTAATAAATACATATGAATGGCCATCTTCATACCGTAGCTTTGAACATTTAGAGCTTAAGATTAAACGCTGCACACGTAGCATCCACCTTTGAAAACAAAATTATGCTGCTAAACACATTAAACAAAGATGCGTTCTGCCTCCATTGCAATGTTTTCCATAATACATCAATTTATATTGTTTTATTTACATTTTTTTACTGCAAGTGTTGAACACACGTATGCTGTAATAGTATACTCTGCTAAATAATTTGGCAGAATGTGTTATGTATGCACGGTAGAGTAAGATCAAATCAAAGAACCCCTGGAGAAAGTGTGTACTATGCAGCAGATGCAAACCATCGTTGGAAAGCAAATTGCTTCACAGTGACTAACTGATGCACATTCACCATATATGCTACGATTGTTTTATGCGTTTATATACGATATCCGAACCTCCCCCACCCTTCCTGGAACCACTGCTCTGCTTATATTGTTACAGTACATGCAGCAGAATTCCCGCTTTAATAAATATACATGCATCGGCATTTTTTTCTTTCAATAACTTGACACTGAGGGGAAAAAATGACATTCAAGTATTGACCTCTGAAATGTTTTTATGCTGCCTATAATAGCTACAAAATAATAGTAGTAATGGAAATTTTAAGCGACTTTCTCTCTTTCTAGAAAGTGAAGAAGTAATCAAAATTGTACCATTTTATAGCCCAACTTTACGAGTGAATTGTTACAATAAAAACTGGGGTGAAATTCGCGTCACGTGCCAACACCACACTTTACTGTTGATCACTTTACTGCACTTGCACCGCTTGTCCAAGGTCGACGGGTGATGACCTTCTTATTAAGGTGAAAGCGGTTGGTCGGAAGATGTCCATATGAAGAGAGAATACAACAGAAAAAAAATTCCCAGCTGCCGAATTAAAAGAAGAGTTGTCTTGTTGAGGAGTTGAAAACAATAATCATTTCAAGGAGATTTAAGACAAGAGCATTTCTGAAGGTTCCAATGCCTATCTAAACGGTGTGTGGAAATAATATCACAAAATGCAACATTAATTGAACTCTCTGTTGGTTCACGTTTAAAACAGCCAGCTTGGGTCAATGACGTTGCTCTATTAAACACCTTTTCTTGGACTGATTTATATTACATAAACCTGACATATTCTTGGTTCTTTCGGTAAAGTCACGTAGAAGGGAAATAATACAATCGTAAAAATAAAACAATCAAATTCTCACGACGTTTAGATTGCAACACAAGCAATCATCATCAGGTGATGATGGATGATTGTGTGTTGCAATCGAACGTCGTGAGAATTTTATTGTTGTATTTTTATTATTTATTTTTTTCCCTTCTACGTGGTGACTTTACCGAAAGAACCAAGAATATGAATCCCTGCAGTCACGAAAGCTTTAAATCGAAATATAAACCTGACAACCATTGTATGTACAGTTTTTCGGTGGGGTAACGTGCGACTCATAATTTACCAAACAGTCATCGCATTGGATATTGAATTGTAAACGTACTTACTACCATAATAAACATTCTCAAAAATACACAGCTGGGTGGTATAAACAAAATATGCCAATATCAGAAGTCTATGTGCCACCTGCTGAAATTTCTGGGAAACTTGATCTTTTCCTGTGAATATCCATTATACATGCTATGGCAATCACTCAAACACATATTGGATAATCACACTCCCTGGTTCATTGACACAAATATGTAAAAAAAAATGTGCCCTGGGAGCAGTTCGGAATAAACCCATAACCTGTGTTATTATAGTAATGTGTATGCTAATACTATTTGTGCATCTGTAGTAGGTAATACGCAGTATGCTAATAAGTGGTAATAACTGTACGTATGATTTTTTCAAGAAAAATTCCCATAATGGGCCTCATTATACATACACTACAACATTCCCATTTTAATTGTCAGACTTCAGGAGAGCTTTGCTCAGTCTTCTTTTGATTAAAACAAGGCAACCAAAGCGGACAAGAGCAAACGCTACCTAATCGCTGACAGTCACACACGAAAAGAAGATGAAAATCTAGGGGGGGGGGGGGGGCAAGAGAAGATAACAGGTACATCAATGGTTTTTTGGTGTTATTTATATTGCCAATACATTTTACACTCCAACGAGTGACGGTCACCACAGACGTGTGTTGTGATGGCAAAGGGGCCAATCGCTGAGTAGATTTACTGCAGACATTTGTCATGTCTCCATGACAGAGCCGGTGGCTAATGAGACTGTACGTTATGGGACGCATGTTCCAATGACAGGAACATCAGCTGGTTATGCAAATTATAGGGGGTGGCGAGCAGTAACGTCTTATTTATTGCCTCAACAGCCCACCCTGGATACCGAGTGGCTTTCAATCTATCCGCCGGCTGTTATCATGTTGCCGCAACTTTCTGTTCAACTTTTGTTATGAAAACATGTACTGGTTTAATGGTTCTGTTGTATTAAATGTTACATTACTCTTAAAGTAAAAAAAACGATTCATGGTAAAATGATGAAAGCCGCATTAATCATTTGTAGTTCAATTTTCAAAGTAGTATGGGTTTTACTTGATCTTTGTGCCAACACTGAGTTTAAATTTTTTGATATCATGGCAAATCTGTTTAAATTTTTTCTCTTGTGGAATATTACTCCAAAAATTAGTTTTAGCATAAAGAAGCAAATGCAAGGTTTGTGCAATGTCAATTTTAATTGTTTCTCAGTAAGGGTGTGCACATATAATTAGATTGCTTGGAAAAAAGTCTATTTATATCTGTCATTTAATCACCAAAAATTTGGGGGGAATTTAACTAAATCACTTTCATTAACTCTATGGCCATTTCATCATTAATTTGATTCAACGTTTTAAAAGCAACATTTAAGAGCGTGTTTTTACTTGTAACTTTTGACAGGCATGGCCATTACTTAACATGTATGGATCAGTGTTATGCAGCTTTTACAATAATACAATTTTGAAAAACCCAAGTAGAGTTAATTTTTAAGTTTAATAATCGATGTGAGCCCAAAAACCGATATAGTGGGATATAGTGATTCCAGCAATTATTTTACAGATATCATTGTTGATTAGTTTTGGAAGAAAGTGTAAAATAATTATTATAATAATTCTACAATAAAAAATATACCAAAAAAACTACTTAGCAAAACTTGTATAAATTGCAAACATTTAAGTCTAACCCTCACATATGAAGAAACGTTAACAGCCATACATAATTACACGTAACATAACATCAAATTAAACAAGCCCCCTAGCTAGTATTGCGCCGATTTCAAGAAGCAATCTTGCATTGTGAAGGAGTCCCAAGAAAAAGAAGCTTGGCCCATTTTATACGTGCGAGTCATTTATGACTTATGAAAAACAATTGATTTTTTTAAACCTGAGAAACTATTTCAATTGTGATTCTCTGAGGTGTTCTCGGGTCGTACCTGCGTGCACGTTTGGCGTGACACCGTGCCGAAAAACAGAGTATGACCCCGGAAACTCTCATCGTCGTAGAGCTATAAGGTACTACCGCAAAAAAAAAACTGCGTCGTAGATTTACATTGTTTTGTTTCGTAAAATTTGGGAAGCCAAACAACATTGAATATCAATGTTCAGAATTTTCCTGTTTTAAAGAAAGAAAAAAAGTATTGGCACCATGAACTTTTAAAACAATTATTAGCTGTGTAATGTGAAACCTAATGAGAGTTTGCATGGATTCTTTAAAATGTTTCCTTTTTTGTAAACACCTTTTGTAATTGTCGAAGGATTTAAGACGGTCAAGCCTGAGGTAAAACTGTCCAAAGATCAATTTGCCAGTTGAAATGTTACAATACATTTCCTTGCGTCGATTATACCATTTGAATGGGGAAGGTTTGAAACTCATAACTGCTTAACACGTTGGGGAGGTCATCTCACTTCCTGGATTCTCATTTTGAGGTCCTGGATAATTTTTCCCCCGATGATATTTGATGTATATCCAAATGACAAGTTGCATCCATTGCTACATTGGTCTTCAACTCGGCGGCAAACTGAAATAATCACAATTGACGTATTAAAACGTTTGTGCACCACGTAACAACTTAATTTATTTGGCTGGGCTGTCATGTTGGTGGAGGGTTCCACAACACATATTTGGTCAGATCGTTACGTAGTCAAAACCGAAAAATCGATTTTTAATGACACCTTTTTATAGTGCAGTTTGGTCATTAATTTTCTAAACAAATTACATTCTATAGAACGGCTGCAATACCTTTAGAACAGGTTATTTCAGTTGTTAAATTATTGTCAAAATGCAGAGAAAGGGTTATCATGTGGTGTTAATGCCTCGAGGGCAATAATTAGCATCAAATGATGCAGTCCCCTATAAATCATTTCTGGCATGGCACTATGAGCTTGGTTGTAGGGAATCGTGACTGACAAAACGATGCTGCTCGCTACGGATTTATTGTAAATGTCCGCGTGTATTGTCAAAGGGCAGCTGCAAGGAGGAGTCGTTAACTATTGATTTTGGCACATGGCTCGGGGAACTGAGCATCCATCTGTGCCCAAAATGGATTCCCAGTGAAATTCTTCATGCTCCGAAATGGGGAAAAGAATTACACGCAGAGCCATAGCATCTTCTTGAGCAGAAAAAAAAACCCAAACAAAACACAGTCATATTTTGTAAAAGTAAACAAAGACACGAGGAACTAACAACATCGATTCAAAAAATCATCCTGTAACCTCCGTCAAATACAAAAGCTCATATATGCAATGCATATGGTTTAAATGCTACATATATACAATTAGAATGTAGAAATGATTCTGCGTACAAAAATGCATTTATAATGTCTTGTATGTGTATTAAGATGAAAAGCAATGCAGCCTGATTTTGGAGCAGTTGTCATTGGTTCTACTTCCTAACAAGTAACAGAATTTGGATTCTACATCATTCCAAATACTTGGTCACTACTAATCTATTTGGTGTTTAAATACGCTTTCATTAATGTGGCATGTTCAATCTACCTTGGATTTCAATGTGAATGTAATTCATTCGGCTTAACATATAATACATTAAACTAGGTGAAATAAATGGACCGTAAGGATTCAATTCCATCTTTTAATATGGATAACTTATAACTGCTCTTGATGTGTATAAGGTTCAGTTCTCACTTTTTCGATATAACCAGTATCAACAGTGGGGCAACTTTAACATGTGCAGTGTATACATATGATATATGTATATAAACCAAACACAATTTAACCGATATCCATTGAGATTTCAAAAATGCTATGCAGAATCCTACATGAATATTAATTGTGTATAGGACCCTGCATAATTTCTTTGAATCCCTATGGAATATTGTTTATTGTCTGAATGTTATTTTCCTGTGATATTTATGAAATGTCCACCATGCACTGCGACAGTCCCTTAACGTGTAATGCATAATAGCCGTCTATGATCAATGATAACAATTAAAACTTGATTATAAATGACAAATTATGTTCTAAAGAATCTTTTCACGTGATTCACAATTGAGGCTTATTTCTTAGAAACGTATTTCAACATTGTCGTAATTCTTGAAATATCACATGGTGAACAGATCTACACAATACGACTGTACGAGTTGTCTTCTCATTGCATATTGAGGGCATTGCACTACAGTGCATCGCCATGAGGTGTGATGACATGAAATGTTGTGATGTTGACTTATTCACCTAACAGGTACAATTTAAATGTAACCCTTTGAAGACCAAGTGATCGCAGTTCTCTGGGAAGAGTGATGACGATGTTGAAGATGAATGTTGGCAACCAATAATTTCTGCTGGCGAACCTGATTTCACAAACTCCACAGATACACAATATATATCTATCGAATTTAAGCTCGTCAAAAACCCCAATTGTGGTAGCATTCACCACGCTTTCCCTTGCCAATAAACTTCACAGAAGTGGGCTTTGAATTTGATAAGCGCGTGGCGTGCGTTTTTTATTTATTTCTTTTTGTTTAACAAAAGTTTTTGGAGTCTTGGGAATGTTAGTAAAATTTTATCAGTTGAGCTGCGCATGCCATCTCGACATGGGAAAATTTTACAGGAGCTGCATTCTTAAGACTCTGTCCTGTGGTCTCCAGACTTTCTGCGCGTGGCTTATATCTCCGCTCCGAAAGTGTATTCCCCAGGAATGGATTCTCTCATTTTTATAAGTGTTCTCGTACCGTTGCTTTTCTCAATAATGTGCTGTCTGCTTGTGATTCGCAGTGCCTAGAATCACAGAATAAGTTTTTTTTATTCTGTATGCTGGTTGTCTTTCTCATCCGCGAGCCAGTGGGTTCGCTCTTCTGCATGACATATGTCATGCAAAGACAATTGTCAACTGCATGCCTAACAAAGACTTTTTTTCTTTTCTTGCTTTATGCTGTCAGATGTCAACTTTGAGGAAGGTAGGTATTTTTAGACTGATGTTGCTTAGAATGTAGATATTAGTGAGTACACAAGCATAGTTTATTTTTTTATTGCAGATACATGAAAAGCAACCCCTTATTGAAAACAAATGGTAATTTGCGAGGAAAGTTTTTTTTTTAAATCCATTCCCTCATTTTCAATAAAATACTTTTTTGTTCAATAAACTACTATTTTACATTTCATTCGAGGAAATACCAATATGTTCGGAATGTATTTTCTCACAACTACCGTGTGCAAGTTATACATTGACTTACAACATTAAAAAGCATGGGACTGCACATCACTATGACTGTGAAGATATTAAAATCCACAATTTTAACAAATGGAGCCAAATGTATGTTTGAGGCATAATCCCAACTTGGAGTGAATTTTAATATTTTTTTCTTCCCAAACAAATTCAGCATCAATTATGAAACCATTAAAAGCGAGTCGTTAGGTGATGGTTAGCAAGAATAGCCGTTTATTGATTTGTTCTTCTTGATCTTTGGAAAAGCATTGGGCACCTCAGTGTTTAATGCTTTGGACTGTGTGGTGCTTAGACATACACTGTTTAGTATGTCGGTCACAATACTGAACATGTTATTGTGATGGCAGACTTTGTTGTCTCTGTCTCTATCTCTCTCCTTCTCTCTTGTATTCCCTCTCTCACCCCCCTTCTCTGTTCCCCTTCTATATGGCTGATTGTACTCTCATTCTCCTCCAAGGTATCATGCATCTGATGGTGGCCGATCAAGGTATGAGTGTACTGTTTTATCGTTTGTTGCTTTCCCCCACTTCGCCATGCATCATGCATGCAAGGGCTTATAGGGTCACCAATGGCACTTGGATTGACATTCTACCTTTATAGACCATTAGAGTTTTTTCAATCAGCAATATAACGTTATAGTATCACTGCCTTTTTAATCCAAATCAATCTCCAGCAGAAATGACTGGAAGAAAACAAGGTTCGTATTCGTGAAGGGCCATTGATAAGCTTCTGACAAGCGATACAAACACGTTGGAATGACTAATCACTCGGCTTATTTGTTCGCCACATTTTTGTCAGCCGTGTGTATCGATGTTGGAGTTATAGCATTGCAAAACTGAAATGAAGTACTACTTGTTTTACTGCACCTTGTAAGTCTGCAACAAATTGCAACGGTTAAAATTGCTGTTTTGAAGTCACAAAACTTGTGGATACGTAGAGTGTGCTAAGGCCTAGTACATTCGTATGTGCAATACACAGTATCGCTTTTGCTATTTCAGATCTTTAACTAATCTACTACAATAAGTGATATGAGATGTGTATGTACTGCAACGTGTGCAATGTGTTCTATCGTAATATTGTATTTTACAAATAATAGATAAAGCACACTACCTGTTTGAGTGTGTGTTCAAAATCTCGCAAGGATTACAATCAGTTTTCAAATCAAATATAAGAAGTATGTGTAATTAAATTTCAAAATATGTGTGATGTGATTAGAAAAAAAACTGCATAACCACATGGAGGAGGGTCCTGCTTTGGGTTTTCATTGTAAAATGTTTTCAACCAATTCATGATGAGTGTTTATTATAAAAGTGGGAGCAAACCGTAGTACCCGGACAGAAAACCCACTCTATCCCCAAACAGATGGCTGCAGATAGCGATTAGTCCACTTGCTGTACTGCCTTCTTCTGGCAAGCTAGGGTATGGCACCTCCGCAATGCCCACCCAAAGGGAGTTTCACAACATTTGTGTGATCCACCAACCCTTGCTGCCTCCAAAAGTGCCGGATGATAAGCCATGTGCAGAGCCACCATGTGCAGAGCCACCACTGCCCAGCAAATAAGTAAATAAACATACATTTTAAGTATATTCATTGTGTAACACCACAAGAATGAATAACTAACACATCATTCCTGCGTATCATGGCATACTTGAAATAAAAGGAGATACAATGCTGCAATACAACAGGAATAATATTGCTAACACACAATGTGCTGCAATTAAATGTGCACTTACAATCTGCAAACCTTGCTTGATCATGACTGCTGGGCAATAGAGAAACCTGGAAGGATAAAGGATGGACAATGTAGTTCATTTTTTCTTAATCATTGTAAGTGTTGGGAAACAAACAGAGAGAATACATCTGGTACTGATAAGTGCCTGGTTAAAGGATGTGATCCTTAATATATATGTGTCCTTCAAGGGATATCGAGTTTGCCAGTTGTCACATTTCGCCCACTGGCTTTTCTTATGGATGAACAATTGAGCACTGTGACCTTGTCACTTGAGGTAGGGTACGCTTCGTTTATAATTATCAAGATAAGCTCCCCCGGATATCGCTAAGGCTCTTTTGGTTTCGTAGTATTTGATTAATGCAGACTACTTACAACGTAAATATATGCAATAAGATTTGATAGTAAGTACAGAATATCATTATAATCTTGATAACCCAATTAACAAGTTTTTCCTTTAAAAAATTGTACTTGCGTTGCTAATTAATTAGAGTTTTAAACAAAGTCATGTAGTGACTGACACTTTAAATATGCTCTTATTTTAATATCCAATAATATGCTGGTAAGCTTATATAAATTGTAATGTAACATTTTGCTGATCTTTGGTACATGTTGTCAGTGAAGGTAAAGGGGAGGTCAGTTTGTCATTCATTTCTTATCACCAGTGATGGATATTTTTTTAATGAATGCTGGAATGCTTTTGGATATATCTAATGCATACTCTTTGTGGATATAACACAAGGCACAATCAGAGCAATCAAGTGTGTGCAGGCTTGCTGTTCACATACTCACCGGGCTGCACATGTGCAAAATGCATTATGGATTTCCTGTCCATCAAGTCTGCCACTGATGGCTGGTCAAATAGGCCATCTTGCACGGGACAGATTTGCGATAAGAGAATTTGAATGGTTTCACAAATCGCCTGTCCTAAATGTCCTCTGCTTGCAAGGTACAAAGAGATATCTCCTATACTGTTGAGATGTAGTTCTTCTTTAAGCTGGCAACTTCTCTGTGGTCCCTGTCTGGTCTGCCATGATGGTACAAAAGTATTTCTTCCAAACAAGCCAGGTTATTTTTTGAAAATAATGATCAGCTCTCACACAAGGCGTTTTTACATTTTCCATGACCAAGAAAGTGCCTTCTTATCCAGGTGTCCAGCCCAAGCTATGGTTGGCGATGGAATACAATTACAGAGGATGTTACATAGGTAGATTAATTGAACAATTGTGCATGAACTTGAACAAAACAACATAATGATTTTGAAAATAATATTTCAAAAATAGTTACAAACAATACCAAATGAAGCGTAAATTCCACCCGCCATTTTAGTCAAATCATAGTTATTATGAATTACAAATCATAGTTGCAAGTCACAGTTGCAAATGTTGATGTATTTGACATCACGCATGCGTTTAAGGGCATTTCTTGATTGGAAATTAACTAAATTGAGAAAGAATACGAGCATAGTCCAGAAGGTCGGTGCCACAACAACAAAAGCTTTGGTGCCAAGTCCTCACTTTCGGGGCAGTCAACCAACAATTTGATGTTGGTCATAGATTATTCAGGCTTGCCTGTGGTGTTAGAGTTGGCTATATATATAGTGCAAAATTGCCACTAAGATTGTTTTAAAAATGAATACAGCCCAATGCACATGCATCCATTGCAAATTGAAGCATAGAGTGAGACGATTGTTTTCAGTTTGTGCGGCTGACTTGTAGGCTACATCATAGTATTCAAGGAGTGTCAGGGTAGAAGCCTCCAAAAATCCTGAGGATGTAGTTGAACCAGTAGGCAGTGCTTTTTTCTACACAGAAATTCGATTTTTTTTCTTTGAGATGTGGTCGATATGGTGTTGAAATGAAAGTCTTTGAATCTATCAACAGACTCAAATATGAGTAGTCGTTCGTTTGTTGAAAGTTGTGGTTTCCAAGAGCAACCAGATTTTCCCTTGGGGAGAAAAGCACAGGCTGAGTTTTATTTATATTGAGAACCAGTTTCAGGGAAGTGCTTTGGTTTTGAATTAAATCCAAATCTGGAATTTCTGATGTACTTCATGTAAGGATTTGCCTTAGACTAGCTTGACTGTGTCGTCTGAAAAGAGATTCATTTCTGAATAATGAAAGTTACGTCCAAGGTTATTTACAGAAACAGAGAACAAAATCGGACCAAGCACCAAACCTTGTGGAACACCCTTTGTAATTTGGATTTTCGTGGATGAAATCTCGTAATTTGACACCATTTTACTTATAATGCATATACAGTGAGGGAAAAAAAGTATTTGATCCCCTGCTGATTTTGCACGTTTGCCCACTGATAAAGAAATGATCAGTCTATAATTTTAATGGTAGTTTTATTTGAACAGTGAGAGACAGAATAACAACAAAAAAATCCAGAAAAACGCATGTCAGAAATGTTATAAATTGATTTGCATTTTAATGAGGGAAATAAGTATTTCACCCCCTCTCAATCAGAAATATTTATGGCTCCCAGATGTCTTTTATACAGGTAACGAGCTGAGATTAGGAGCGCACTCTTAAAGGGAGTGCTCCTAATCTCAGCTTGTTACCTGTATAAAAGACACCTGTCCACAGAAGCAATCAATCAGATTCCAAACTCTCCACCATGGCCAACACCAAAGAGCTCTCCAAGGATGCCAGGGACAAGATTGTAGACCTACACAAGGCTGGAATGGGCTACAGGACCATTGCCAAGCAGCTTGGTGAGAAGGTGACAACAGTTGGTGCGATTATTCGAAAATGGAAGAAACACAAAATAACTGTCAATCTCCCTCGGCCTGGGGCTCCATGCAAGATCTCACCTCGTGGAGTTGCAATGATCATTAGAACGGTGAGGAATCAGCCCATAACTACACGGGAGGATTTTGTCAATGATCTCAAGGCAGCTGGGACCATAGTCACCAAGAAAACAATTGGTAACACACTACGCCGTGAAGGACTGAAATCCTGCAGCGCCCGCAAAGTCTCCCTGCTCAAGAAAGCACAGTTTGCCAATGAACATCTGAATGATTCAGAGGACAACTGGGTGAAAGTGTTGTGGTCAGATGAGACCAAAATGGAGCTCTTTGGCATCAACTCAACTCGCCATGTTTGGAGGAGGAGGAATGCTGCCTATGACCCCAAGAACACCATCCCCACCGTCAAACATGGAGGTGGAAACATTATGCTTTGGGGGTGTTTTTCTGCTAAGGGGACAGGACAACTTCACCGCATCAAAGGGACGATGGACGGGGCCATGTACCGTCAAGTCTTGGGTGAGAACCTCCTTCCCTCAGCCAGGGCATTGAAAATGGGTCGTGGATGGGTATTCCAGCATGACAATAACCCAAAACACACGGCCAAGGCAACAAAGGAGTGGCTCAAGAAGAAGCACATTAAGGTCCTGGAGTGGCCTAGCCAGTCTCCAGACCTTAATCCCATCGAGAATCTGTGGAGGGAGCTGAAGGTTCGATTTGCCAAACGTCAGCCTCGAAACCTTAATGACTTGGAGAAGATCTGCAAAGAGGAATGGGACAAAATCCCTCCTGAGATGTGTGCAAACCTGGTGGCCAACTACAAGAAACGTCTGACCTCTGTGATTGCCAGAAGGGTTTTGCCACCAAGTACTAAGTCTATGTTTTGCAGAGGGTCAAATACTTATATCCCTCATTAAAATGAAAATCAATTTATAACATTTTTGACATGCGTTTTTCTGGATTTTTTTGTTGTTATTCTGTCTCTCACTGCTCAAATAAACCTAC